GGGAATGGTAGGGGGGCAGAGGTTTTGGGGAGGGGGGGCACAGTGGCGATGTCCCACCACCACCGCTGGGCCCTGAGAACAGCCGGGAGGAAAGAAGGGGAGCCAGGGGAGGGAGCTGTTCATGGCTGGATGCACAGCAGTGGCAGCGCGGGGTGATGGCTGTGGCTGCTGTGTGCAAGCTTCCCCTCCCCCCATGCCTGGGAGGTGGGGAGGTGCGGGGGAGGTGCATGGAGCCAGACTGGGGGTGGGGGTACATGGGGCCGGAGGCAGAGCAGCGGCAGTGTGGGGTGGTGGGTGGTGGTGCTTTGTCTCTGCCTGTCTTCCCCTCCCGGAATCATTCTTGATGGGCAATTGACTAGTAAGACATAATTTGCTTATGGTATAGTGTGTGCTCCAGGTTCTTTTTCCCTTGGGAGGAACTGCTAGAAATAAATAATGGAACACAATCTTAGTTCTTACCCTAAAACATAATAAGATAGAAATGAGTTGAAATGAGTATAGACAGTTTTTAATAGGAAGTGGTATAAGAAGCTTATTAATACTTATTTAACTTGTTTCTCTCTCCAGCTCACTGAGATGCATAAAGAAAATAAAATGTTAAAAGGGCAGATTACTACTCTCAAAGAAGCTATCAGTGTTCATGAGATGGAGTCAAAAGCTAGCAGAGAAACCATCATGAGGCTTGTTTCAGAAGTGAGCAAAGAGCAGAAAAAGGCAGCAGCCTACTTGCAAGACATGGACAAGCTTAACAAGGTACTTTGTTTTTGTATTGTGCATGTCTGTGTGATCTACTGATATATTTTGGAAACAAAAAATGTATGTTGCCATAAAAGAGCATGCTTTGAAACAGAATAAGAGAATGGTTGTAAGATTTCAATACATATCCTTAGCAGTATGTACTTTGGAAATATGTTTGGGCCTATGAAGTAGGAAGATTTGCTTTATTAAAAAAAGTTTAAATATTTCCCAGCCTCAAGTTTTTGAAATCTCAGTAGTAGTGGGAGGTTAAAAGAATGACTTGTGCTTGTGAATCTTGCTATAACCTTGACACCTTCCTGTTCACCAGAGTTTTTGTTCTTGTTCAACAATTCTACACACCTGTATTAATACCTCAAACTTGTAATTGGGCAAATTATGTGTAAGGCCGTGTGTGAAAGTATGGATTAATTTGGTATTTCTAAGACAAGTATGGTACATGAGAAGAGTTGCCTACTTAGAAATTCTTATTTCATTTCTAGAAATAAACTTTCAGACTTTTACAGGTATTTTTCTTTAGTCTCACAACTCTGCTTATTTTTAAAATTACTGTAATTTTTAAAATTGTAAAACTACTGTAATTTTAACTCATAATGTTTTCCTGGTTCCATTAAAAATGAAAATAATGTGTCTTAGCTGTGAAATACCTGGCTATTGTCATTATATAATCAATTCATTTTCCTAATCAGAAATATTGATTTGACTCATACAAAAAAATTATAGCTAGCAGCATGGCCTCCATCAGAAAACATTACCTTGCTGTCCTTCATTCCACAGAAGAAAATCAGTAGGGAAAATTTGTGAAGCAGAAGAGGTGTTGTTCGACTGAGAAATCCGAGTGAAGCTGTAATAAATCCTGAATATGCCAAATTCACTTAGCAGGTTTTTCAGAAAGTTGGGTAGTTTAGAGGGCTAATAGTTAGCAAGGCTTTTTAAAGATAACTTTGTAAAATGAGCTTTTAGGGATATTAAAATACAAAATATGAAAACTGCATTATCATTATTTTTATGAACAAAAAACCACTGATGCATCCATAAGTGTTTCCAGTTGTAACCCATAAAAGCAGAAATTCTTGGAAAAGAAAGTGTGTCATCTAGTTGTGTACACAGTACCCTGGAGATGGAAAAACAGCTGATAAATACACTCTGGACAGCAACATTTTTATTATGTAGAGGAGAAAGATGGTAGGAATCATGTGATGTGTTTACTCAGTAACTACACAAGTTTTTGCTGAAAAGACTGCTAGTCAATCATTTAACATGTTTTATCCTAAGCTTGGATAAAAGTAAAAGAGCTTGCATTGAAAATTTAAACAGCTTTATTTTTGATGCACCTTTCTGTTCCCATCACTCAAATAAAATGTAGGAGAGGATATGAGAAGGATGTAATATATTTTCTAGGCTAAGGTTTAACGTAGAGTCATTTTAAACTGAGATTATGGCCCTATTTGAGCTGTTTTGCAAGTGTGCATTGGCTGCCAGAATACTTCCTAAGCTGAGCTAGTTGTATGAAAGTATCTGCTTGTGATTTATCATGCAGATGTCAAACACATTATTTATTTTATTCTACAGAAATGTTTTTAGACTAGATTGAATAACTAAGATACAAGGGGATCCTGTAATGGCAATGCTTCTTGCCTTTTCAAATAAAAGATTTATCATCATGGTTTATCTGGTGGTTGTCTTGCAGTGTTCCTTCAGTTCCACTTAAAAAATGCAGGTATTAGATGAATATATGGAAAGTTGAGAAGAGGTTGCATCCTCACTGTATTAAATCATTTTGTATCCAAGCAGTGCAAAACTGGCTTTTGAACTACTTTTGATGAGGAAAATGTATGATGTTGCCTGTGGCTGTTGCCTTCTTGCTCTGTTGGTTTCAAGGTTGTTTCAGAAGCATATCCAGTTTTCTAAAATATGTTTGATTTTATCATATGTTAGGCTGCAGGAGCACAAATGCATATACTGCACTGTGTGTACTCAGCAGGGGATAGAGGGGAAACCCTACCATCAGAGAAAATAAGCAGATAGTTTATTGTTAGAAGTAGTAAATGCACTGTTTTCTGACTTCTTACACACAGATAATATGCATAACAGTGTGTCCCTCTTTAGCATCTTTCCATAGTCTACCAAGCAAGCACTGCCTCAGGTCTGTGCTCCTAGTCCTCTCTGTAGTCTCCACCTCTCTGGCAATCCTCTGCACTTGGTGCTTTTGTCCATAACCATCACACCAGACCGTCTGAGAAAGGGCTCCCCAGCCCTTTTCACCTGAGACTTCCACACCTGCTAAGTTCATGTCCCGTGAGTGTCCCTCCACGATTAACCCTTTTGTTCTGAGTCTGGCCTGCTCTGAGCTGGTTCTTTTAATTTGCTAGGGGGCTTCCATTAGTCTTCTCTTAGAACAGGAATTTGTTCAGCAGGGCTGTCCTGTTTGTTTGGGTTTTTTGTCAGTTCTCTCCCAGCTGTTCAACAATGCAATAAAACAAGACGAAGTTCTCATTCACAGCACTCTCCCAGCATCTTTATTCCATACTTTCTCTGGGTTAGCTTCTCTATACTAACTTTTTTCCTTCACAGCTGTCCAGGCCTGCTCTCTTGGACCTCACACAGCTCTCACTAGATAACTCTTGTTCTCTTACTGCTTCCCTTTTCTCTAACTGCGGTTGGTCTTTATAACAGGCAGGTGCCTTCTCTTAGGCTCCCTTACGAGACAACTATGTAGTTGCAGGTAAACTGGACTTGTTTCCTTTTAAAGGACCGTTCAGGGTACCTGTACGTGTGCAGGGTTAAGTCTGCTGCCACGCTCTAATCAGAATGCTCCAGCAGCGTTGCCATCACATATATTCAGTATCTCTGTATTTCAAAATGGTGGTGGAGGCCCTTTAACTAAAGCTCATTCAAGCTTTAGTTAAAGTGCCCCCATTGCCATTTTGAAGCTTGGGACACTGAATACAAGACGTTGCGGGTGTTGTAATTAGAGCAGCTCCTGAGAGCTGCTCTCATTAAAACACCTCTCCCCTCCCACACTGGAGCACATGTATAGACATGTGACAGTGCCATGGGGAAAATAAAATATAGGAAGACTTTAATTCCTTCATAATAGCTAAGTAATTAAAAATTGCTGTATTCTAAAATTAATCACAGAGAATACAACTTCTGTTTTTTTGAGTTGGCTCAATTCAGAAGCGGTTGGAAGAGGATGCCGGATTAATGCTTGAGAATAAATTGTGGGATAGTTTTTATGAATATGGTCCAGCATCTTGTGTTGTAATAAGCAATGTTTATTTGAGAAGTAGCTGCCTCAAGACAACAGTTTCAGTGGATGACAAATATCAAACAGTGAACTACAAAAATATTCTTCATCAACTGTGGCCTTTGATGCAAACAAACTCTCACTCCTGCTTTCTCCTCAGATAATTGTCTGTCTTTCCAGCAATATGAATATCCTACATTCTCTAATTGGATATTCCAGCCTGCTCTCAGATTTCTATAAATATTTTGCTGAACCTTCTGTGGGTAATTTTGAATACCAAGTTCATTGTTATTGGAGAGAGAAATTCACACAGTAGCCAGATTTGTCAAACTGGATGCTAGAAACTTCTATGGTGTGCCAAAATAGAGCAGTTATTTTCTGAAAGACAATTTATCTAGTAAAGAGAAAGCAAGGAGGTCACAGGTCTTTCAAAAAATGTAATGCACGATTTGTTCTAGCAAAGTTGCATTCTAGCACTTTATCATATTTCTATGTGATACTATTTATTTTTTGTATTTAAATACTTATGCAACATTTAATTTTTTAAGCATGTATTTTAAAAATCGCTAAAATACTTGATTTATAGGAATTATTGATACCAAGCTAATTGTGTTCAGACTTATTTTTTATATTTATGTTAAAATATGCAAAAGTTTAAGAATAAGCATTGGAATTGGAGAAAATATAGGAAGGAGCAGTATTCCTAATTATACTGTACCTACATCCTGTGCCTATACAGAGCAAAAATAAGTTAACAAATGACTGAATTTTGCTCTTCTAAACAGATAAGATACTGACTTTCACAGTAGGGGAATGGCTTTCTTTGATAAGATAGAAAATAAATATATGGGAGAGATTTCTGTAAAAAGTCATGGTCCATCAAGTTTGCAGGCTTGACAAATATTAGCTAGGTTGTACTGTCAGGTAAGATGAGGGATAAGAACAAGTTGTCTTGCCAAATCTTACAGTGCAACAGTTATGTTCAAGAAGAATACATGTTCTTTAATAATTAGTTAGCTCTTGTAGGCTTAACCTGCTTTCTGTATAAGCAGGCAATTATGTTTTCCTAAATGTTTGTGAAGTGTCTAAATCTGAGAAAGCCCTGGCTCCATGAAGATAAGGATAGCAATGTATTATAAGAGAAAATGTTCTTCCTTCAACTAAAAAAATCTTTCCCATTTAATTTTCTCAAAGAGTTCATGCAGATGTTACTTTTAAATCGACCTAACTAGATTAAGGTTGATCTAAGTCAGTGGTTCTGAACTGGGGGTACGTGAGATATATTTCATACATTGTCTAACACAGGTCAAAAGATCTAAAAAAAGTCTTGACAATAGATATCCTACTCCTGCTCCATGCCTCAACCTCGCATTGGAAACGTCGCTCCTAGGGGGTACGTGAAGTCTCACTTTGAGACCACGGGGTACATCGACTGGAAAAGGTTCAGAACCACTGATCTAAGTGTTGAGCTGTACATACATTCAGGGAGTTTAGATCAAACACAAAATGGCTGGCCCAATCTAATTTAGTTCCCCTAAGGAGGTGCACTATGCATATCAGGCTAATATGTGCCCGGTCCAACTGGATGTGTACACATTTCATGTACAGCTTGCAGCACTGTAGTGGGGCTTTTCTGGCACTTTAATAGCTGATTGAATCAGCTTTAGCTAAAAACACCAAAAAGCCCAATCTATACAGATGCTGTAGAGCTGGGTCTAACCAACACACTGCTTCTTCCAGTAAAGTG